GTAAACATTGATCTTTCATAAAATGTAAAAACATTTTTCGGCCAGCATGTTTTAGGCATATTGTGACTCCGCCAAATCTCAGCATTTTCCGAGTTGTCAAATTGAAAATGAAAATCGAATGTTGTTACGTCCCTCAAATTTCTACTCTATATTGACACAGAATTATGTTTAAACCCRAGATAAGATATTTTAAGGTATTTTTTTGAACACATTCCACAAGTGGGATCAGAAAAAAAAAAAATCGTTCATTTGTGGTTGGTTTTGTAAGAAATTTGTATGTTGAATTAGCCATGAATTAAGAGAAAACAATGCGAACGCTTATTTCAAGTAATTGAAGACAAATTTCCACTTGTAAGATCAATAAATCAATAAAGATACGTTGCTTTAGTTTTAATTGCATTGAATTTCCAAGAAAGAGCTGTAAATTTAGCAATAGAGAGCATTAAATACAACAAATTGAACAGACCTTTGATTGACCTTATTCACATCAACTTTGCACGATCGGGAAAACAACGTGATTCTACAAGCAATCAACATGACAAGTCTTCATGATCAATTCCTCTACCAACGATTGTCCCAAGGATTAGTTTGTAGTTAGGTATGATTCTTGCAGCATAATTGTTGTGTTCGAGCGAAAAAAAGCGTTATGTTAACACCAACATTATGCAGAGTTGGTTTTGGGGAATTTTGAATTTGGGGTTGGAAATGGGGTGACCCATCCCAGCAATGGGAATGAAATTTCCTTACCCTCCCCTTGGGCCTAGCATAAAATACCATATAATGGCCCTCCCCTCTCATGTAAATGATATATCTAGTTCTTGCAATAAGAAGAGAAACTAACTGTCAAAGAGTTGTTAACGTTGTTGAAATCATTGCGCCCCAGCATCCGGTGAATAATGGCACAGAGTCCTATTGGCCCATTGTCCCTCCATTTTGAAGGGATAAGTGGACTATTCAAGGCACAAAATCCATGTGTCCAACTTGCTTTTGACAAWGGATTATTCACATTTAAAGAACTGCCAAGATATCATCAAGCAATATTTATGCTTCAATCTTAATGAAAATGATGATGATGATGCTCATATAGCAGTTCTGATGGTGATGCGGATGCTAAAAATAGTGATCATGAGGAAAGCTAAAAAACTCTATTAAAACAAAAACAAGTATATTCATAATCTAAGAATTTTCAGGACATTTGATACAAGTTAATCTATTTAAAATAGTACTTCACAGTTCATACATCCGATATGCTTTGTTGTTGTTGTGGTTAYTTAAACCAAATATAGCCCTAATTTTGTTCATACTG